TATATATAAAAAATTAGCTGGGCATGGTGGCGCATGCCTGTAGTCCCAGCTACTCGGGAGGCTGAGGCAGAAGGATCACTTGACCCCAGGAGTTTGAGGTTGCTGTGAGCTAGGGGCTGAAGCCATGGCACTGTAGCCTGGGCAACAGAGTAAGACTTTGTCTCAAAAAAAAAAAAAAAAACGAAAGAGAAAAATAAATAAATACACCAAACCTATTCAGATCATTTCTACTCCTTTACATTCCTTCTTGGGTGGAACCAGAGGAAATTAAGGCCAGGATGTCATGCATACTCCTGGGAGTGTGTGGTGCTCGTGAATACCATCTGTCCTATCAGTCAGAATCATGGTCAAGAGCCTTTGGGGTCTCCGAAGTCCATCTGACCCAATTCTAATCATAGTAACACCACGAGCCGAATGAGCTACTTTGGTACTATATCACCATTTGGGACAATGTACATTCTGCCCCATTCCCAAAGGATGTGACACTGCCAGCTACCATTTCTAGAGAGAGCCCCTTCCCCACCCCTACGTGGCAGTGCTAACCTAAGTGCTGCACCTGCAGGGACGAGCAAGGATGTGCACCTCACGGCCCAGCAGGAGAAGAGCCAACACATGGAGCATGTCACACAGCCCTTTGGCATTCATGCCCTTCAGAATAGCCCTGTGTGTAAGGTCAGACTCCTCGTTCTCCCAATTTACAAATGAAAGAACTGAGGCTCAGGAAAGAGCAGCAATCTGCCCAAGCCTCCTTCTTTCTGGTGGCAAAGTTAAGACTGGAACCCAAATCATTTGAAGACCAAATGAAATAACATCACCCTGTGCGCCAGGGGAAATCAAGCCAAGGGTGGGCTCCTGCCCCCAGTTCAGGGCTTCCCTGGCCCCGATTCTGAGATCTGGCCCCAGAGGTCAGGCCAAATCATCACTGATGACACTTTCTGTTAGCGAACACAAGGCTTCCTTGTGTGGAGCTGCTGGCAGCCAGAGGCTCTGTGTCTTTCCGACAAGTTTTAATTAGAAGGGAGCATGGTGAATTGGGGAAAGCTCACACACCCCACTGCAGCTTTGAAAGGGAATATTTGGATTAAAGCAAGATTTCTAAGAGGTTTCAGTTAGTTTTGCAGGTCCAGGCAAAGTTTTCACTAACTGTGTATTTTCTTGTTCAATATTCTAACTCTAAATCTCATTGCAGAGCATGCTGTTTCAGAGAGTAGCACTGAATGCTTGAGTGGAAAGAAACTTTAGAAATGGGGTCAAGGCCAGCTCATAAAAGGGAAGGAAGTCAGTTCCCTGCAATCGCCTGGTCTGTACAACCTGGACTCATTATTTCTGCACTTTTAGCACTTGTGAGCCTCTCTAAGTGCACGTCAGGTATATATTTTTGCAACTTGGCTAGAAAATCAAGCTTGAAGGACACGCTAACTCTTGTGAAAGCAGGAAGAACCTGTCAGACCGACAGGGCACACACCCTGGAACAGGCCGCTCTTTAGCAGCAAGACAGAACACGGTTCAAACCTCTTGAACTTGGAATTGAAGAGGCTGGATAAATATATACTATATACACATTCCTACGGAGAAGAGGTTTCTGTAGCCACCAGCTGTGATTAGAACAAGGCCATTGTGGAGTCTTACCTTCTCGTTTCCTGTAGATTCCGGCTAATGGTTTCCCCTGGCATTTGACATCATGATGTGCAACTGAGTTCTCTTCCTGAAGGGGGGAACGCATTCCAGAGCATTTGTTCGGGCTCATGTAGGAATAGATCTTTGATTGCCCGGTAAACACGTTCTCCTAGAAAGACAAATACATATTCTGAAAGAGGCTTGAAAAAGAAGAAGATCCTATAGCATTTAAGGGAACAAGGGGACATGAGAATACAAAAGACAAAAAACAGACATCATCATCTCTCAAACACTGGGCTACTGGGGAATGCCAGCCCCAGACCTCTCAGCGGAGCACTGGCAGGTTTAGGATCCAAGGTCTAAGTCAATGTGTTTTTGAACACATTGGTCTCTAATTTCGGTCACTAAGGGGACATGCAGCCAGCTGGAGAACCAGCTGCACCCAAAGGTCTGTATAGGAAGAAGACAACCTACCAGCAGCCGGGAGGGTCAGAATGACCTGAAGGGCTGGGCCAAGCTTAGGAGTTAACTCCCCTGGCAGGAGCCTTGGTGACTCTAGCTTAGAAACAGGCCTCAGGGAACCTGATTAAGCACTCGGCCCGAGGGCACCTGCGAGGGCTTGTCAGAACTGCCTGAGCCCTCTGCCCAAGCCTGGCCCCTCTCAAATCACTGCGGCCCAGGAGCCTCCCAGGACTGCGGTGGGAAGACTTCTCTCAGGGTGACTGGAGGAAGCTAATGAAAGCAGAGGCTACAGCCAGCGCATTTAGGGCGGTCACTCCACTGCAAAACCGCACCTTGGCGTTAGCAAGGGAGTGGGCAGGCCGGTGGGGCGGCTCAGGTCACTGCTGTGTCTCTGGGTGTGGGGCCTCTCCTCTGAGTAAGCACAGACAGGAGGAGGGCTTCCCCAGAAACAATGCTAGAGCCTCGCTGCCTTGCTGAACCATTAAACATCAAGTCAGCGAGACCCGTGACCTCTCCAAGGGACCCGGGCAGGCCCCGCACACCCTGGGAAGGCAGCCACCTCCGTGGAAGCTGGGTCTTGGGGTGTGGAAATGCCATAAAGACACCGTCAAACTTTTCCGAGGTCAAATACCGCCGGAGTCATGGCGGAGCCGAGTGCGCACGCCACTCCCAGCCAGGCAGCAGAAAAGGAAGCTGCCCCAGCCGGGCGCCCCTGGGCGGCGCGGCGGGGGCCGGGGGGCGCCCACGTGCTCGCGGCTCCGGCCCGGCGGGCGCGCCGCGTGAGTGCGGGGAGGGTGCCTGCTTACCCCGTCGGTGCGGGGCCTCCCCGGGCCCCTCCGCTCCACCATCTCCGGGCCCGGGGCCGTCGCTGCCACCGCCGCCGCCGCCGCCGCCGCCTCCACCGCGCGGGGCTTGGACATCTTCCTGCCTGGAGAGGGGGACCCGGGGGAAGCGGGGGAGGGGG